TTCCCCACATGCACACACTGGTGACTCCAGGAACCATTTCCACCTATTACCAGCGTTCCCTTGGGACTCCTCTTACAGTTCCAAATTCAAAGGAAAGTTTGATTTTCCTACATGAGGCTTTTTGATTTTTGGGTTTTTTGTCCAGAAATATTTTCAGCAAAATTTTCCAACTCAGTGGAGTTTTATTAAGAATTTATTTGAAAATAATGGATTCATTGGCCCATGGGTACATTGGAAAATGTATCTATCTTCTTTCCGGCTGTACTGTAGTGCCCTGCAGGCTTGTTTATATGTTCACAGTTACTTTTTTTTTTTTTTTTTAAATAAAAGTCATTTACTGTAGAATACTTTTAATTTCACTTTCTGTATTTTAATTTTGTTGAAGGGCTGATTGGGATTTCCATGTTCTTATTAAAAATCTAACAAATCTGTTTGGAGTGGACTAAGTTCTTTCTGTGCCAGCCATTCTAAAAATCAAGGCCAGGTGGAGGTTGGGGTTGGAGGTAGAGGATGGTTCATTTTCAGATGGTCATTACATTGCTGCATCTGATTATTATCCTTTGCTACTGAATTTGTTCCCAGTTGGGAGAAGAAAGTGCCAAGTCATTGTGGTTTGAGGGCTTGGGGGTGAGAAGTGGCCATACCAGTTAGAGGTGGGAAGAGAGGTGGTTTCCCATGGTTTATACTCAGTGAATGGAGTGGAAAGGTGGAATCCTACCTTCCTGGCACAGTCTAGGGAGAAAGGGTCCTGGCAAGGGGATGGCCTGAGCAAGGTTTGGGGCAATCAGTGGTGGGGTTCCTCAAAGCAGGAGGCCTGGCTGTCTACATGTGAAACGTGGCTCTAGATCCACCTCAGAGTTGGTGAAAGAAGACCCAAATGGGATTTATCTTTGTTTATCGAGCAGCAGTTAAAGTGGCTTGAGGGTTTAGGACAGAGTGTATTCCAACTAGAAAAGGCCTTTTGAAGAGGAAGTTGTAAAGAATAGCAGGAAGAGGTCATTAGAGGCTGCTTCTCTGGAGCCTGTTGGAAAACATCTTCCAAAGTGAGCCTGAAAATACAATTGTCAGTGTGGAAATAGATCATTGTGTGGTTCAAAGATACTGAGTTTGAATAAGACCTTAAACGAAATACAGAGCCCTGAGCATGTCCTTTCAGCCTGGGTGGTCACGGGCTGGTACTGTGATCTCCAGAAGGATTACACCTCTGCATAAAGGGCAAATGAATGCAGAAGCTTTGAAATGGGACAGGAAAGGAAAGCAATGAAGGGAAGGCGGGTTGTAAAGGTTGGAGCTTTGTTGCTTTGGTAAAAATCAGGAGGCTGGCTAGGGGCTAGCCTACATTCTGGATATAAATGTCTTAAGAATTAGGGCATTCACAGCTGCCAGTGCTTGCTGATGGGGGTGGAACTGGAGCCCCTGGATCCATCTCCAGCCTAGACTCCAGGCGTTTGAAGAAGGTCTGAATCCCCTGCCCCAGGGTATCCACCTCGATAGCTTAGAGCTCCCTGCAAAGTTTAGGAACTGACAACTTGGGGGAAAAAAAAAAAAAGCAGGTCAGATTAGAGGATTTTCTCCCAACTGGAGTGATTGGTGATGGTCAAGAAAAGATGGGGTAGACAGATGCACTTATAACTTTGACTTCAGGAGTCCTTGGGTGGGTGTCTTTACAGGACCTGTGATGGGGTAGGGAGGTTTGCTAGTCAGCAAGTGGAAGAAAATAGCCTGTTCAAAATAAGCTGCTTGGGTTAATATCTTAGCAACATGACTTAGTCGTTTTGTGACACTTTGTTAATTACTGAACCTCCGTAATCTTTCCGTTACCTTATCTATAAATGACGATAATTATAACCTCTACCTTAGAGGATGGTCCTGAGGATTCACTGAAACAATGCATGTGACGCTCTTAGCTCAAGGCCTGGCACATGGCGCTCAAGTTATAGCTATTATTCCTCGTGGGATGTTTAAGTCTTTCAGCCCTATGTGGATAGGACAGGGGAAGGGCTGGGATGTCCGGATGGAACCGTGAAGGCCTCCGAGGACCTCAGCCCAAGGGCTTTGAATTCAAGAAAGGTGAATGAGCGATTAGAAGAAGGCCAAGCATTGAGGTCAAAGGCGCATGCCCGACAGCAGCAGGTGCGGGGGGCGCGCCGCCGCAGCTGCTGCGGCCTCCCCTTTAAGAACCGCCACCGCCCACGGCCCGCTGCTGCGGCAGGGACCTCCCCTTTAACGGCGGCGGCTCGGCGCTCCGCGGCCCCCGTGGCGGCTGCTGCTGCTACTGCGGCTCTTGCTGCCGCTGCCGCTCTACCTCCGGCAGCTGCATCCTCGGCCCGGACCAGGTCCCCGCCTCGCGTCTCGCCATGGTGTCCTGGATCATCTCTCGCCTGGTGGTGTGAGTGCGGCAGCGGGCGCGGCCGAGTGGGAGAGGGATGGGGGATGGGTGTTAGGGATATTGAAGCCCGGGATGGACCACTCCATGGTTTCATACGGCAGTCACCAAAAGGCACGTCATCCCTATTTGGGTTCCCCGGAGACATGGAAGTGCAGGACCCAGGACTGGAAAGAATACTGAGGAGCATGGCAGGCCTTGCTTCTCACCCTTTTTATTTTTAATTTCCCTGCTCCTTCGCCTTCCCTCATTCTAGGGGTTTAGCGCCACGGCTTGATTTATGAGGGAAGGTGGGCATGTCTCTTCCCCCACTACCAGTTCTGGGCTGGAGGAGCTGCTTAGACCTGGGCTCTCATCTCCCTCGGGGGAGAGAGCTAATGGAAGAGTGGGGAGCAAAGCAGGGCCTTGTCATTCCATAGCTTAGGACCCAGCTTTGGCCTCCCCAAAGGGCTGCGTCCTTCCTTCCTCTTCCACTGACTGTCAGGAGTTAGGGATGAAGGCACATGCTCTGAAGGACCCCCGCGGGCAACATCTGGGTATCAGGAAGTAGAGATGCTTGGAGGACAAAGTGTGGGAGGTAATGGGGAGAGGATATGTGTGCTCAGCCTGGGATTGTGAAAGCCGTGGAGAAGAGGGCATTAGGTGGCCTTCATTCCAGGCGGTCAGCCACGTCTCTGAGCTATGTCCCTCCCACCTCCCCCGGGCTCCAGGAGGGAACCCTGCTCCCACAACCCCAGACTTTGTCTTTGAGGATTCTACCTGCACCCCATCTCCAAAGGCCAGTTGGGAATTATCTTGCCCCTATGAGATGGATCCATGTGGAAATGCATTACCCCCACACTGTCAGGGACTGGGCCTGGCAGGGGCTCCACCCAGGGCTCAGCCAACTTCAGCTCCAGCTCAGGACTCTGCCTTTCAGCCTCGACCATGGGGGACTGACACCCCAGAATCCCCTCCTTGCTGCCTTCTTCCCATTCAGTGCTGTCATGTGCTTGTGTCCTGGCTTCCTCTAGACCCACCGGAGTCTCCTTCCTTCCTCTCCCCCATGCCACCCCAGAGAGAATCCAGCAGTCTCATTCCATGCGGCCATCAGAGTGGCTGCTTCCCTTTTGTTTACAAGGGTTCCCTGAGGGCATTGGTCCTCTCATACTCTCACCTGTGACCTGTATGTGGGCTCTAATGGGGTCACCACCAAGTCCACTCCAGCCAGATCCTCAAGCCTAGGACCGTACCCTGAGCCTGGTCCCAAGAGTGTCTACATGGGGGAATAAACCTCTTTGCCCTTCCCAGGGCCTCCTGTCCCTATGTCCTCTGTTCTCCAGGTCTCCAGGGCCACAGTGATGCCTCTGACTGCCAGGTAGAGTGCCCTGTTAGGCAGTTTCAGGTTCTCTTGTGGACCTGGCCCTATCTAGCCTGGCTCTGAGATGGGAAGTAGAGGATGAGGGCAGATGGGTATGTATGGACATGGTGGTGTCTAGAGAAGACAGCCCCAGAGCAGTGACTAGACGCCCCCACACTCTCATATATGTTTGTGCATAACCAAGGATCATGACTGAAGGGACCACATTGGACCCTCTGGGTCTTTTTGTGTCTCAAGGGCTGGAGAAAAATAAGGGGAAAGGGGCATCACCCTAGTTGGCTGGTACTTCCATGCTTAGGTATCACCCGAGTCTTGACTGCTTTGACTTTAACCCCTGACCTGAGTTTATCGAACCAATTGCTGTGGCACTCTGGAGTTCTGTCCCTTCTCCCCTTACCTACCCAGGGACTGATGCAGAGCTGGGAGGGAGAGGCCACTCCTCTTGGCCGAGGTGCCCAGTAACCATGCCTGCCTCCCTAGGCTCATCTTTGGCACCCTGTACCCAGCCTATTCTTCCTACAAGGCCGTGAAGACAAAAAACGTGAAGGAATATGTGAGTGTGTATGACCCTTCATCTCCCATCCAGCCCACATGCAGAGATAGGGGGAGGACTGTGGGTCACATTACAGATGGGGTGACTTTGTATCAGTACTGTTGGCACTAACGAGACCCTGGTTCAAAGGAGGTTCCTGTGTATTTCTTTCCCCATGTCCTGGTGTGACCCTTAGGCAAAGTCTAGGTCCTGAGTGTTCCTTCCCCATAGAAACCTCCAGAGGCTTCCCCAGGCCCCAGCCAACGCTGCCCTCTCTGCCCTCAGGTGAAATGGATGATGTACTGGATCGTCTTTGCTTTCTTCACCACGGCTGAGACACTCACAGATATCATACTCTCCTGGTGAGGTCCAGCATCCCCTCCCTGTATCTTGGGGTCCAGGGCTTCTGACTTTCTCTAAACAGCTAGCCAAACAGATTGAGACCCAGGGTGGAGACCACAGTTTCATGGGGTCTAGATATCCCCCGCCCCATTCAGGCCTGGCTTGATCAGCAGAATAAGAACAAACATACCCCCTACACTTCTTTCTGGTGGCAGCCAAAGCACCACAATAGAATTCAGGAAAGCTGTTTCTGCCAGACCTTGGGCAAGTGACAGCTCTCCTATTTGTAAATGAGTCAGTCCTAAACACATTGGATGCTTGTATTTTAAAAACATTTTCTAGACTCTACTAGACTATGTATGAACACTTAGAGGACAAAGAATGTCTTCATCATCTGTATATTCACAGCAGGCACTCAAAAATGTTTATTGAATGGGCAAATGCTTGTTGGAAGGGAGGACCAACATAGCACAGTACATTGGAAGTCAAAAGAAGAGAGTTTTACAGAGAGGTAGAAGATAAAAGATCATTGCATTTGTAGATTATAGTAAATCCTCACTAAGTCATCGATAAGTTCTGCAACTTTGAGCAGTAATGCGGTAATATATAACCAAACTAATTTCACCACAGACTAATTGATACAGATAAGAGTTAACTTCTTACCTCACCTCATGAGCATAGTAACAAAATGATGTTGAGTGAATATTCAAGGACCTGCAGTACAAGAGTCTAAAGTCTTTGAGAAAAATAATTTTAGCAGAGGAAAGAAAGTAGGTTAAAATCGAGGGCAGTGAGTGTAGTTGCCTCTTAACTAACACAAGCAAAGGAGAGAGCTTTGATGAAGGCTTTGTGAGAATGTAGGAGAACTGCATGAAGGAGTATGTGGCCAGAGAGGGAACTGTGGGTAATGGAGAACAATCCTTAAAAGCAAGGGGCATGTCATGGCGGCAACGATTGGGATCTAGAGCACAGCTAGAGAAGCTCATCTTTGTGGGAGGGAGGGAAGGAGGAGAAGGGGATAAGGATGCAAGAGTAGACCTGTAAGATTGACCCCAGGACAGAAGAGTGGGTGGTCTTCTGTCAGGTCGAGAAGGCTGAGACTCTGAGAAAAGAGCCAGGAAGCCACTGCTGAGGGATATTCCTTCTGGGCTCACTTCTCACCTTCCCACTTAGGGTCACAGCCATACCCTCCAGTCTCCTTGAGATTAGGAATGATCACATGGTAACCCCAATGCACTAAAGGGTGGGGGGCCAGCTAAGGTTATACAGAGGATCAGCGTACCTCCTGACTCCCTGTTCCAGGCTCTGCCTCTTACCTTTGTCCCCTCAACAGGTTCCCCTTCTACTTTGAGCTCAAGATCGCCTTTGTGATATGGCTGCTGTCCCCTTATACCAAGGGCTCCAGTGTACTCTACCGCAAGTTCGTGCACCCGACACTGTCCAACAAGGAGAAGGTTTGCCCCTACTCTGCTTCCCAGCCAGCCCCCCAGGCCAAGGCAGCCCAGTGCCTGCAGCCACATACATTCTTGGCCCTCCCTGTGGGTGGCCAGAGCCTGAAGTGACCTGGTAGGACCCTGGCCTCCTGCAAAAGGCAGTGCCTTTGTCCAGGTGTGAACAAGGGCAGGGCAGGGCCTGGCCAGCAGGGCCCACCCCTCACCTCTTCCTCCTTCTCCTCTAACCCCTCAGGAGATCGACGAGTACATCACACAGGCCCGAGACAAGAGCTATGAGACCATGATGAGGGTGGGCAAGAGAGGCCTGAACCTGGCCGCCAATGCCGCGGTCACTGCTGCTGCCAAGGTGAGATGAGCACAGACCCAAGCTCCTGGGGTCCCCCCTTGTTCATTGCATCCCCCTGGGCAGGTCCTTTTGCATCCACCCTGTCCTGAGTACTGTGAAGGTTTGGGGCTGGTGCAGCTCAGGGTTCCACTCCTGGCTCTACCACACTCAAGCTAAGCGACTTTTACTCTTCGAGCCACAGTTTCCTCATCTTTCCAAAGGGAAAGTGTGGCCCCAGCCTATCAGTGCTGCCATAGGACTGGGTGAAGACAGTATGGGAAAGGCACTGAGCCCAGTGGCTGCCCAGTGCCCTATGGTGACCTCTGTCTCCACCCCGCCCCTTCCTCCGGTTCTCCCGGTGCGTGGTGGTGACCCTAGGGCCAGGGGGTGCTATCAGAGAAGCTCCGAAGTTTCAGCATGCAGGACCTGACCCTGATCCGGGACGAGGATACCCTGCCCCTGCAGGGCCCTGACGGCCGCCTCCGACCCAGCCCCAGCAGCCTCCTGGACACCATAGAGGACTTAGGTACAGGCAAGGCCCAGGGTTGGGCATGGGGACACAAGGGCAAGGAGGTGGCCAGGTGAGAGAGATACCCGGAACCCTCTGTTCTTTTCTCCCCACAAGCAGGAGATGACCCTGCCCTGAGTTTAAGGTCTAGCACGAACCAGGCAGATACCCGGACAGAGACCTCTGAGGATGATGTGGGAGACAAGGCCCCTAAGAGGGTCAAATCCATCAAAAAAGTACCCAAAGCTGAGGTGAGAGCCCAGGCCAGAGCTTGGAGGGATGGGGAAGGGGCGGTGGCTCCAGGCTGAGCCCTCTGTTTTGCTCCCTCCTTCCCACAGCCACTAGCTTCCAAGACACCGAAGACCCGGCCCAAGAAGAAGACCTCTGCTGGGGGCGACTCAGCTTGAGGTCGCAATGCTCCACAGGCTGCAGAGCCCCTGCTCCACACTGTGCCCGTAGCCCACGTGTCTCAGGCCCTAGGGCCTTTCAGATGGCTGTCTCTGGTGCCTGCCCAGTGGCCACTCCTCTGGAAGAGCCTGGAAAAGAGGAGGGAGGTCCTGCTGCGGGGGGTTGAGGGCAGAGGCTTGAGCAGGAGTTGAGGACTAAGCCACCCAAGGAGGTGAGGGCTCTTCAGAGCCTGAACCACCATTCTCCCTGCTCCAGCCCTGCCCGCCCACCCAGTGCCTTGCTAAAAACCATGGCCATCCACTTCTCTGAGGTCCTCACATGCACCTACTGCTCTCCATGGGGTGGGGATGGGGGTGCAGTCACAGCCCAGATGGACCAGAGATGGGCCTGAAGGCACCTGGGAAAGGGAGGGAGTGGGGAAGGCCTCTGGGAACCTGGGCAGGGGCTCCAGGCCACAGCTGTGAATGGAGGACAGAGACTTAGTGTGTGCTTAAATGACCAGGATGGCCAGGCCAACTGGGGGCATTGGGTAGGGCTGTGTGCTACATGTGCCCATAAAAAGAGGTGGGGTTCCAGGACTGTGTGTGTGAGAGTGTGTTTGTATCTTTCTGGGTCTAGGGCTGGGGCATGGGGGTGTTGAGTGTAAAAGACTTTTTCTCCAGCAGTGACCATCTCCCACCATCAGCCCCGCAGCCAGCTGTCCCTTCCCCCGACCCCGGCCCTCCTTTCTAGCCTCTGAGCCTCAGAGGACCCCAGCCCATGAGAGAATAGGGCTCCAGGGGGGGACCTCTCACGCTCCCCGTCCTCAATCCTTTTTCGCCTCCTCTCATTCCTGCCCTGCCCCTGGACTGGGGCAAGGCCCACCGTAGAGGCCCCTGCTGAGGTGGTTCCTTTCCTCCTCCCCTGGGGGCCCACCCTCCTTTCCCCCATGATCTTCTTCCTGTGCCAAGCAGACTAGGCCCCCTGTGAACAGACCCATCAGAGCCCACTCGCTGCCCCAGCTTCTGCCCATGACTTCTGTCAGGGCCAGGAGGGATGTGTAAAGAAGAAAAATTTAGGAGCCAAGGGATTCCTAATTCTGTGGAAAGTAGATGCTCTTTGGACCTTTGGCCCTGGATGAGCCAATAAACCGAATTCCGGCACCTCATTTATTCTAGCCTCTGTGCTTTGTTTGCGCCCCACCTAGTCCACAGGGGGGAAGGACCTGAAGCATGAAGCAGGACCAAAGCTGTGGGAGGGAGGGGTAAGAAGTCAGACTGTGAACCCCAGGAGCTCTGATTTCCAAGGTAAGAAATAGGCTTGAGATGGTTCAGTCTGGGAGAGTGGTTTGGGGGTTCACGATAGAGCCAGGGGACTAGAATGGACCAGGACTTATGATGGGCTAGGGGCCCCAACTCTCAAGGATTTCTTGTCCTTCAGAAACCTGCCCTGAGCCCCCCTCCCTGAATGGACTTTCCGATACACATGGAAAGTGCCAGGTATAAGCTCTAGGGATAAAGACCCCGATGAGGCCTCCAGGGGAGGGAGGATAGACTGCTGGGTAGAGCTGGAGGACTGGATGGCCACAGTGCCTAGCAAGGCTAAAAAATGTTAGAGGGAGCTTGTGAGCCAGAGACTCTGAAAGGAGGAGACAAGTGGGTTGAAGGAACAGATGGAGATGGGGAACCAGTCCCATGGTTCATGTCTGACCCTGAGAACAGACAAGGAGGACAGGTACCCAAGGACTAGTGCAAAATAGGTGGTTCATGTGGCCCCAGAAGGGAGGGACCGAGCCCTGAGCTGCTGGACTAGGTTGGAGAAAAGAAGGAGGTTGCAGGACTTAGGCTCTGAGCCCTTGGGAGGTAGAGCCAAGGCCACCAGGGGCAGAGGGGCACAACTAGCTAGGATGAGACCTTGGAAGGCAGAACTCAGGAGAAGGGAGAATATGCTAGGGGAGTAGAAGCAGCATCAGAAGATAAAGGAAAAGAGTGGAGAGGGAAGGGGGAGGGAGAGGGAACGGTGCAGAGAAAGAACAGCTCAGCCTTGTGGAAGGAAAATGGAGGAAGCTGAGCATGGGCTGGGGTGTGGATTCGGGCGGGGGTGGGGCACCTACTCAGAGGCTCTGACCCCAAGGTTGGCAAAATGCCCCTACACCAGGCTTTCCTCTCCCTTTCCTGGCATCACAGGGTATGTCCTCCTGCCACACTTGAGCCCAGCTGGCCAAGAACATCCAGAACTGAGGGTGCGGGAGAGGTGGGGTGTGCGATACCCTTTTCACCTTCCCTGGAATCCTCCAGTCATCAGTCTTCTCAAAGTCATTCTTTTCACCACCGGCATCTGAGCAAATGGGTCCTCCTCTATCAGAAAGAAGAGGAAGTATCGGGGGAGAGACTCTCTTGTTCTAGGAAGATCTCCAGAGAGTAATATGCTGCAGTCTCATGCTAGCAGCTACCATATGGTCAGGAAACCAGGTTAGGCCCTCTCTAACCTAAATCGCATCTGCAGTATAACACGCACACGCACCACGCACTCACACACACACACACTCAGACACACACTTGCACCCACAGTGACCAGTAGCTAAGGAGGTCACTGCCAGATTCTGCATTGCCAGGCTCTTTATGAACATCTGAGTTTCCCTGTGTCAACAGGAACATGCTCAGCTTTCCAAGCTCATTTGTCCGTTGCCATGGAAACATTCAGTTTCTTAGAACTCGGCACAGTGCCTGGCCCCTGTGGTGCAGGGGAGGAGACGAGAGATGGAAGGTGACAAAAATAATGGGTGGAAAGGCTCCTAGGAGGAAGCTGGTGGGACACATCTGGGTCTAGGTGACCCCTTGCTATTTCATTCCCTGGGACCATCTGCCCTCTCCCCTCTGTCTCAGTAGATCCCTATAGGCAAGGGGAGTGGGGAAGAGAGGTCAGAACAGAGATGTATGGCTAGAGCTATATGGAGGGTGCTTGATCACTGCTTGGGTCCCCAGTGGGCACTGAGAGAGAATTAGCTTTGGAGTAGGGGCTGTGTGTCACACCTAGACCACATTGGGGACACCAGACAGCCCTCCAGACCTGAGGTTTCTGGTTAGAATGGCCTCAGGCCTGGAGCTGGTTCAGCTGGCTTCCCTTCCCTTTTATCTGTGTGCCCCACACCCAGAGAACCTGCTTAAAATGGGATTTCCAGGCCATGACGTCAGAGAAAAGCTAGAAGCTCCAGCCTGTGCCAGCTTTTCCTTGATCAGCAGAACTGAGCCCAGCCTTGCTCAGCCTGGAGGAAAGGGGGATAGGCATAGGAGGCAGGCGCACTGGGGGCTCTGGGCCATGGTCCCCACATCTGTGGCATCCAGGGTAACAGAGAGAGACAGTTTCCAGGCCAAAATCCAGGGCTAGCTCCTCGACTACCTTAAATTTCAGCCAGTACATGATCATCTCCCTCCAAAATTCCCCCAGTTTTTCCCTCTCTGAGCTGGGTCGGGCCTTCCTGGAGGAGGAAGGCACCTCAACTCTTAGAGTCATTTGGGTTCTACCTGAGAGCTTATCTCACATTTAGGATGGAGGCAGCGATGAAAGGCAGCCTGCAAGGAGGAAAAAGTCCACTAGGTGGCGCAGCTCCCTCCCAGTGTGGGATTCCCTGGCCCCAGCAGGGGACAATATTTCCTGCAGCCAGTCCACTTAAGTTCTGGTGAACAGGATGCCCCATGCCCCACTCCCTGAAATTAGAGGTTTATAAAGAAAGCATTCTTGTAAGTAGATAGGACAGCTATGGATTCTCAAACAATCACCAAGATCAATTTGTGTGCACACTCCCTGCCCACACCCCATAGGAAGTCAGACCCATAGGGCAGTTATTCCCATTAGGTAAGGATCAGACACATCTGGGAGCAGGAAAATTTCCAGGCTGACCCAAGGAGGGCCCTACAGCCCAAGGTACCCAACCTAGGCTTCTGAAATGGCATCTAGAGAGGCTTCTGGAGCTGATGATCAGTTGGAGAGAGAGACTCAAGGGGCGACAAGGGTTAGAGAACTTGGGAGGGGCAGGTTAACCCCAGAAGAAGGGATGCTCACCTGGCTGCAAGATTCCCTGGATATGATCTCCCTGATGGCCACAGTGGCAGTCCCAGGCCTGCCCCAGTTTTTCCTGTCCCCTGCCCCTTCCCTTATTTTCAGCTCAGGTACTGTGGGGCTAAAAAAGATATCCTAATCCCTAAACCCTCGAATCTCAAGGTATTTTTGCAGGAGCCCAGGCTGGGGGTCTTCAGTTAACTACCTTTCTCCAACCTCTTTCCCAAACTGACCCCACCAGCCCTGTATCCCTAATGAACTACCCTCTTCTTTGTCCCAACCAGATGAGTGATTAATAAATAATACTTCCTGAAATATTGATGGCAAGTTTTACACCAGGATCCCTTAGCTGTGCCTGTCACTGGGGAACTTGAGAACTGACAGAGAAATGCATGGCCCCCAGACAGTTCTTCCCTGTCTCTGCCAACTGAAGGTCTCACTTTGCCAAGATTTCGACCTGTTCCCATCTCAGCCAGAATCATGATTCACTCCTATCAAGTAAGAATAGGAAAGGTCCCCAGAGACTGACTCATCCGGCCCCCTGGGAAGTATGGGGTAAGCTAAACCAAGCAGAGATCCTTCTTGATTCCTATGTCTCTTATACAACTGAGATCCCATTTCCTCTGTTCCATGTCCACCTTGGACATGCTAGGTCCAGATTTCTGAGTGATGACTCAGAAGGAGACCTGCAATTTCCCTGCCTCCCCACTTCAACTATTGAGAGCCTGAGCAGAAGAGACTTACGTGCTCCCGACTTCTCTGGCCTAGGTTACTTCATCTAGTTTTGTTCTCCCTGGAAGAAGGAGAGGAGAGAGGAGCTGGAGGAGGAGCTGGATGGTCTTGAGACCTCTTGGGTGGCGCACACCTGATTCTAGCACTGTCTGTAGAAGCCTGACCCACTCAAATCTCCGCAGTGCTTTCTGCCCAACTACTCTCAGTCTCCTGCTTCACGCGGTCAGCTCCTGCATGTGCTTCAAGTATCAGCTTAGATGTGACTCCCCTACTCCACTCCCTCCAGGCCCCTGTGGCATCCTGCTCTTCCTCCCTGAGGTGCATATCATTCTGTTTGGTCATTGCCTATTTCCCCACCACACTGAAAGCTGGGGCATAGGCAATGGGTCTACCTTGTTCACCACTATTTCCTCAGTGTCTAGTTTGGTGCCTGGCATACATGTAGTAAGCACTCAGCATATTTTTGTGGAACGTTCGAATGATGTCCCTGCAGCACTCCTGGAAAAACACCAGCCTTCAAACCTCAGCATCCCTCTGCTGAGCTGTTTGCCTGCACCTGAGGATGGGTGTCGGTGTTAACAGCAGCTGCCCACATCAGTCCCCTCCCTCTGATTGCCCCGGCATGTGCTCAGGCTCGCTTGCTCTCCTTTTCTCTCTCACACACACAGATGGGAGTCAGCTTTCCAGCCACATTCAGTTCTCACTTTAATTCAAAAGCTAAATTGGGAAGAAGAGCAGCTTCACACTCCTAATTTAGCCTGGGAGAGAAAAAGGGAGACAGCCTGGATGTTGCCAGGGAAAGGAGAAAGTTGGGCCTGGGGTGGGGAGTGGCGGCAAACATACCCAGAGCCCAAGAGAAGACAACGAAACCCTCACCACCCGGCTTCTAAAAATAAATCATCCAGAGCCATGACCCCAGAGTGACCTCTAGAAAGCCTCATTCCTATCCCAGTGCAGCCATTATCCCAGTCTAGGGGTGGGATTAAGGGTGGCAGAAGAGACTCTGATTATCAAAACTATACAAAGAGGGAGATGCTGCTGCTGGTCACTGGTAGTAGGAAACCAGGAAGTCCTTCTTAAATCTAATTTTAATCCCTCTTTGTGATAGCTGAGATGGATGATGAACAAAAACAGAGTCCACAAATAGATCCTTGCCCACTAATACTCATAACAGCATTACTCACTATAGTCAAAAGATGGAAACAACCCAAATGTCCATCAAAAGATGAGCAGATAAACACAATGTGGTATATCCATACAATGGAATATTATTCAGCCTTAGAAAGGAATGAGATTCTGCCACATGCTACAACATGTGTGAACCTTGAGAACATTATGTTAAGTAAAATAAGCCAGTTGCAAAAGG